GCTAAGGCTCTCGAATATACTAAGGCTAAGATTTTGTAGTTTTTTGGTCCTAAATAAAATTCTATTATAAAATAAGATGAAGGATCTAAAGAGAAAATATGACCTTTATTAAGAATTAGCCTCAATATAAGATTCTAGCTAAATCGTTCTTATTGTGGCTGAAAAAACTTATTTTTTGATATATTATCTTTTTTGGCAACCATGCTCTTTATTTTGTGGTTGCATTATTTTTTTAGATAATTTTGAGTAGTATATTTAGTTTTTCCATAATATAAGCACAAGCCTTCTTGATGACATTATTATTATTTTTTTTTTTTTGTGAAAGTTTTAAATTGTATTATATTAATTTGCATTAGTTTTGGCCTTGATGAATAAGTTTCTGAAAACTTAAAAGTTGTTATCATTACTTGACTTATTCCTCTCTAGTCGAGTCTTTATTTTTGATATCTTTCAAATAATTGATTGTTATATGCAATAGCTTAAGCAATAAATTGTTCTAAAGATTCTACTTTTGGCATTATCAATAACAAATCTTTTACATTATTCTTCAATCTATATCAAAATTGATTAATAAGGACTTTGTCATTCTAGTCTATGTTATAAGTAAGGTTTTGGAATTTAGCAGTATATATAGTAACTGATCATGATTCTTATTGTAAAGATAAAAGCTTGGTCTCTACTACTCTTTCTTGATCACTTTCTCTGAATATAGCTGTAAACTCTTCTAGGAATAAATTCAAATCATAAAGTAGTTGTGAATCTTTTTCCATGAAAGGTATAAACCAAGAAAAAACACTTCCAAATAGAACTATGCTTATGAATCCAACTTGAGTAAATCCATTAGGATATTGGAAGAGATGCAACTTTAGATAAAACTTCACTTATTGCAAAAAAATTTGAAATTTTGATCATGTTCTATCAAACATCTCGGCATACTAATTCTTGTCTCTATAGTACTTGTAGAAAAAAAAATTTATAGATTTGGTTATAAAGTTGATCTATTTGTTTCCTTCAACTGCACAATTTTTTGACATAGACTTTGAACTTCTTCCATAGGCATAGGGTTAGTATTTTTGTAATTGGTGCTTGTGATGTGTGAAATTTCTACCCTAAGAAAGTTGACAAGTTTGTAAAAATCAATAATAGTTACAAATCTATTCTCTTCTGAAATGCATAGTATCTATGATTTTTCCTTCCATTTCAAACAACTTTATAAATCCACAAGTCAAATTTAAGGAAAGTAATCCACAACTTCTAATATCAAATAAAAATTTCCACAAAGAGGGATAATTTGCTCTCTTTAAAAAAAAAATATTAGTATTAAAAAACTAAACAATTTGTTTAAAGGTGGGTAATCCGCAACTTCCAAAGTACAATAGAAGTAGAATAATCCACTCACTTCTAAAACAAGATAAGAACAATGAGTTAGCATTCTTGTTAAACTGTCAAGGATATGAATCTTAAAGAACTAAAAGATCAAGACACCCTAATATCACTTGAAAAAGACTAGATAATCACTCAAAAATGATATAATATTAAACTAGAATGACTATTTCCAAAGACAAGAATACTAAAAAGTCTTGAAAACAAGACTATGAACTAGAAAGATGTTGACAAGAGTGAAGAAGGCTTTATCCTTGCCTCCATATATACTCTTAACTAGGAGCTATGTGGCAATGTCTTATAGGACCTCCAAAACATGTTGACTTTGTAAAACATGTATTTTAACTTGTAAGGCAAGTTTTTTATATGTGTATTACATAGTTAGCTTATTCCACAAGCTACTAATATGTGGTTAACTTGTTGACCAAATTTCTAACCTACCAATCAACTACAAATACATGTAAAGTCAAAGTAGCATTGTCAAGGACAAGAACTCGATGAAAGCTAAAGAGTAAGTGAGACTTTTCTCAAAAAGAAATAGGACAAAATAGAAATATGTATATTAAGAAAGAAACTGGAATGGCTATTGCCAAAATACAAGAAAACTAGAGACCCTTGAAACTAGACTAGAAGCAAGAAAGGAGTTGACAAGAGTGAAGAGGGCTTCACTCTTGCCTCTATATATACTATCTAACTAGAAGCCACGTGGCGATGTTCTATAAGACCTCCAATATATGTTGACTTTCTAGGCCACATGCCTTTGCTTGCAAGGCAAGTTTTCTATGGATGGACCACGTAGTTAGCTTGTTCTTTAAGCTTCCAACATGTGTGGCACATGGCTAACTTGTTGACCAAGTTTCTAACCTAAAAGTCAACTATAGACTCCTATAAAGTCAAAGCAGCGTCTATGAAGCTTCTAAGAAGCTTCTCTAGAAGATATTACACAATTAACCTACTTTTATCTACTTTTACATACTTTTATCTATTCATATAGGTAATTATATGTATGTCCGTGACAAGCATCTATGAAGCTTTTAAGAAGCTTCATTAAAATATATTATAAAATAAATCTACTTTTATTTACTTCTACTTTATTATATAAGTAAATATTAATATATATCTATATATATATATATATATATATATATTTTTTTTTTCATATTCACTTAATGACGATGTAATTGGCATTTTCATATTCACTTAATGACAATGTAATAGAGTATATATCTACATACATACCTAAATTTTTTGTGTTAGCCATGAACTAAGATTCAATCTTATCTTTGTAGTGTGTCCATTTTGCTTGGCATCCTTCTTCTTACTTTGTTGGAGCGAGTGGCACATGAGTTAATTGCATCTTCCATTCCTTGTGGTATTGTGTTGTATGTATTGGATTGACCCCTTCTTTGTTAATTGTGCAGTCCTTAACTTACTTTGCTGCAAGTTACTAAATATAGAACCAAAATCCTAAATATAAGAGCTCTGCCACTAAAAGCTCTCTGTTCCATTTGAGTAATGGCTAAGAGTATAAAGATAGCAAAGCTTTTTCCTCTATTGTGGTTGAACACATAAATTGCTGTTGGAGGCAATGCGTGATCTGCACATAGGCGTGGAGGACCTTCTCGAAGCCTCATTGCTTTCCCCTCCATATCTCTCTTCTTCTTTCATGGACATGATTTCATATTTGGAGTATTGATGACATCACCCCATATCATACAATTGCAGAAAGACCTCTAGTTAGAACCTCGACAGAAGTGAAAGAGCACTGGCACATGTTGGTCGATGTCTTCAACGGGGAACCTGAAGCTCAACCACCAGGAACCCAATCATTCAAAGGCATAAGCTGGAGATCAGCGAGTGCGCTAAACATGAATCAACTAAACATATGAAGGGGGCGTGCTCGAGGAGGAGGAGCCTTTCCGCGTCAGCTCAGCTATCGTTCGGACGTCTTGGTTTCTCCCAAAGCAAAGCTGAAATGACCAAAGTCAATGGACAAAACTCATGGAGATAAGATTGTGCCACAGTGAGTGAACCATCAACAAGCAACACACATTAAAAACCAGTCACTTCACCAATGCATAGCCTCCAACTTAGACGCCATGGGGGCAAAATCTCCAATCCCAAAATTGGAAACTCATTCTAAAAATTTCAAGTAGGCATCTACTGTCCAGTACTTTACGGGGAATTAATGGGGAAAGCACATCGTCGAAGCTTTTCCGTGACGCTGACTCTCTGTAGGGTTGCTTCGACGCTCTTTATCAATTGTTTACAGACAACATGGATCCCGACGCAGTGACCGACAGTGGGTCCCATCACCGAGTGTGGACCGCGACCTGGAGGAGAGGAGGAGGAGGAGCAGTCGGTCGGGTTGAATGAATGGCCTCGGGAATGGCTCCCCTCCGATGATTCTTCACGCACACGCAATTGCACGACGCCCAGATGACGCTGAGCGGGCTATGCCACGGAGCTCGTGTCGTTATCTCGGATCGTTGCTGTTGGAGGAGGGGATCTTCAAAGCCCCAATTTAGCACCCTGATTAAAAAGCCTAGCATTCAATTTCGGATGTTCACCCGCGCTGGATTCTAATGCGGTCCAACCACTCGTCAAAAACCAATCCCCCGTTGCCCGCATAGCATTTATTACATAAGCATCGCGTACTTAGTAAAATTTAGCGTCTACCACGCCTTCGTTGACATTGTGGGTCCTGTTGATAGGTTTTCCAGCTTGGGTCATTTGCATGCAGTGTTGTGTTGACTGTAGGATAAAACTTCGAGCTTGTGCAACTGGGGAGGAGCTCTAACCTAAACCGTAAAAACTTGGTTTGCTGGGCTTTTTAGACTGTCGAGGCGGATTTCACAGCTACGTTGTGTATATACCGTCCGAATACTCAAAAATGTTGGCCAGGGTTTTCGGTGTGGCTAGCATTGCAAAAATTGGTATTCGGATGGTGGGTGGTGCAGCTGCCGTTGCGGCACAAACGACCTTGTACACTTTCGTTATTAACGAGGTGAATCCTGTTGGACCCCTCGTCGATATCACACGAAGGATAGCTCTTGTGTTCAGAACGCCGCCTCAGAAGTTAAGAGGCTCTGCATGACCACCCCGTCAGAGATTGCTGCAGTTATTGAGCAGGAATGCGGTTATTACAATTGTACTGAAAAGAGACAGAGCATCAGCATTTGGTTCAGAATTACTTCAGTCTGCACGCGGTACTGAAAGCTGGAGTGGACACGGATCCAGATTCGGATTCCAAACCTGAGGTAATAGTGGGTGCGGTCTCAATTACCGCCAGCACAGCGCAAGTCCCCAGAGTCCCAAGGTTCCAGAAACTACCCCCCCCCCCCAGCCCGCTTTCTGAGTATCTGTTATTAATAAGTGGTTCTTATCTCAGCAATGCTTCGAACCCGGAGCCTCCTGGTTTCTGGTCTACGCTGACTCGACGAAATTTCCAATGCGAAATATGTGTGCGTGTTCCTGCACGACCATGTGCACGGCAGTAAGGCCTCTAATCTGCTAAGTAACAACGCCGTCGGCAAGAAATGCAGGGAGTCCGGTAAACTCGACGTGATTCCTGTCAGTAGTTACGTTCTCAGGCACATCGAGATTCACTGCAAATGCTGTACAATAGTGCTTGTGGCACAGGTTGTGTGGTGATGACCCAATTCTCAGAAATCGGAGAAGCGAATGTGACATTTACAGCTGTAACTTGCACGCACATGTGCGGTAGAAGTGAAGTTCCCGTAAAAGCAATGAGGTTAATTACAAAAAGTCCGAGGTCTTTAAATCAGAGTAGAGAGTACTGTAGGGAGGAATTCCAAACCGCGTAGAACAGGGGCTCAGGCGTTGGCTCCGGGCGTATAAGAAAGTAGTTCCCCGCGGGAAGCCTCAATCGTTCCTCAGTCTCCTCTCAACCTCAACAGCGGCCCCTTCGCAAGCAGTTGTGTTTAGTTTACTACAATTCTCTCTCTGGAATTGGAGATTGTCAAAGAGCGAGCTCCAAGAATTAGAGTCGTGTTCAAGTACTGAGACCTGACTTGTTGAAGTATTAGCGTGTCTTTGAGCATTTTCTGAGATTCGGGAGGATTGCCCGCACTGCACCGATCGCAGGAGTGCTATTCTGTGCTCTAGCTGCAACAGCGTCGCGATGGATCCTCAACACCAAGCAGTACGTACTCCTCAACGTGGTGATTCTTTTTCTTGCTCGAACTCATCGCTTTCTGCCCATTCACAGACAGCAGGACATGTAGAGTTTTTTTCCAACTAGGAAAGGGTGACAAAGTGCCTGCTAATGCTTGAAAGACTTTGATTCACGCTCCACAGGGTAGCACAGAAACATGACGTCGTTGAAACAGAGCTCTTGTTTCCAATGGCTTCATCGCTGGCTTGCTTTACTTTAAGGTGTAGCATTTTATAGCTTCTCGTTTCAAGGAAAGGGCTCTCGGTTCCCAAACTTCTGTGAGAGCCCGTTTGATAGCAATGAGGCGTGAAGTGGAAGCTTTGAGAGCGATTAGATGGATGCAGAGGTTGAACAGCAGCTGTGTGCTAATTATGATCGATATTTTTGCGACTTACGCAGATTTATGCCAAAGAGCAAAAGGACGTTCCAGACTGGATGAAGGCTCACCACGAATGGCAGGCAGCAGTCGATATCAACAAGTTGCCCGTAAGCAGACCAATCTCTGCTCAGTCGATTGCCAATCGTCGTATAAATCATCGCACATCTATTTGCTATTCTGGTTGCAATTACTAAAACAGTTTTCACCCCAAAGCCTTTCGACCGTCTCACTTACCTCTACATGATGACCTGTGCAGAAATACCAATTGAAGGTGAAAATGTGCTGCATGAAATGTGAGGAGAAAGTGCTGGAGGAGATCCGTGAAGTGCACGGCGTCTTCGACGTGAAGGTCGATAGAATGAACAGCAAGGTTGTGGTGGTGGCTCTGCCTCCTCCCAACATTCTGGACGAGCACGAGGTCCTGCGAAAGGCTAAGAAAATCTACAGGAAGGCCAAGTTTGTGGAGCTGGACGCCAGCGAGAAACCCAAGAATGAAGACAACAAGAAAAAAGAGGATGACAAGAAGAAGGCCGAGGAAGCGAAGAAGCAGAAGGAACAACATGCGGGGAATTCCACCACCAACACCACGTACTACACCTCGCAGCCTTACATCTTCTGGCCGGGCCAGCGATTCGTCCCTCCCCAGGCAGGAGAGTATCGCCCAAGCCAATGGTATGGTCCTCCATACCAGTACCCACCGTTGCCAAACCAGCAAGAGGGCTCCCGCTTGCAACAATACGTCTATTACTACTAAACACCAACAACACCAACACCAACAGTACCAACAACAGCGTAGTCTTCGACGACAGCTTGTAACAACACCAGCTTTGCGATGCTCAAAAACTCCTCGAAGCTTGGTAGGCTGCCACCACTCGATGGAGGATAAGAGCAAATTTTCCCCCTTTTGTACATTACCTTGGTAGAGAGAGCTAGACTTCGCTGGACTTGGAGGAGCTTCGACGTGCGGAAATCGAAGCTCCTGATGTGTACATATTGTCGCGGCATAAGTTTATGAGAAAGGTCGGGTGATTTTCCTTTACAACATCCAGAGGAGTTTGGGGTTTCTGGGTGGGTGGATGCGCGTGTCCCGTCTTGGATGTTCCGCCTCGTGGTGGTGGATTCAAACACTCTCCTTCTCTCGCAAGCATTTTTGGGTGTCTTTGGAGAAGCTCACAGAATCTTTTGAAGAGTTTTTTTTCGTGTCTTTTTGTTTTGCATGATGTTCTCGTCGTTGGTTAGTTGCGGAATTGTGCACGCGTCGATCAATACCACTTTAAATATCTGCCAAAACCACCACGATGAGTGATTACGCAACCCTAAAGAAACAAATGTCTGTACGATGGTGGATTGTTTGCTGATGAGTAAATTAATATTCTATATTAGATGAAAGTCCAAAAGAAGTCATCTCATGGGCCAAAATCAAGAATATTGGTGATAAAACCACCAACAAAAAGCCTTGCAATTTAACATCTATCTTCAATTTGATACCTACATAGTTTTTTGTGCCCAATGCCCTGCAATATTATAACTTAAATTTAATATCTACGTAGTTACTTTTTTGTGCCCAACAACCTGCAATTTAATATCTTCAATTTAATATCTATATTGTTATTTTTTTTGTGCCCAATGGCCTGCAATTTAATATCCATATAGCTTCTTTTTTGTGCCTGACGGCATATATTTCAGCTAGTGTGACACATTACCCAATGATAAGATTTTTGACAATGGAACATTGTAGATGACTTTACTAGAAAATAAATAAATAAAATGTTAAATTTTATGAATACAAAATAATTTAATGGTATCCAATTCAACCTTAGATATGTGTAAGTGCATATATATATAGATATATATTTATATATCATTTGATCCAAAAAGAAAATAGAATTAGAATTCCAAAACTTTTTGAAATGAGAAAACTTTAAAGTTTCAGAACACAATTAAGTCTTTTTATTCTATGAACAACATATTATGTAATATAAGACAAAATTATATGTATTATTAGCATCATTATTATCAAATTTTAACCAAGACATTCTTCAACAACCTTAGTAATAATTCAAGACACTTACTTACATAAAATATTCAAGGTTCTTGACATTAGTATAAACTATTATTAGATTAGAAGAATCTTTTAGATTACCTTGTCATTTTTGGAATAAATTTATAATAGCACCTTTAACATACAGTCTTGCATCTCCAAGTTATTGTAGTACAAAACAAACATGTTTATATTCCTCTATATTCTTGGAATTGATAAGAATATTGTCTAAATAATACAAAAAATATTATCTAAAAATTCATAAAATATATTATTAATGAAGTGTCAAAAAGTAGCTAGAGCATTTGTGAATCTAAATGGCATGGCAACATCTTAGGACACTTAGAAAAATATTTATCAAGAAAACAAGAAAAGTTAGTAGAATCTAATAGACAAAGATAGAAACAATAGGGATTTTATATTCTAAAAAAATCGTACATAAAAATTTAAATTTAAAAAAAAAATTAAAAAATTAAAAAGAAAAAGAGTATAGAAGATGATAAAAGGCCTTCAAAAGGTGATATAGTAAAATAATCCAACTTCATGGTCTTCAATACTTTTGGACAAACTTCTTTTTTGCTACATTGTCTTTTTTTCAATTAGATACTCTTTATCTTGTGATTTTGTTTCTTTTTAAGATAATAATCAATATTATATTTTGGTTCTCCACATTACAACATAATCCTTCTTGTTGGTGTTGAGTTTTTTCTTGTGTTGTAAGAAACTAAAAATATATAGCATTAATATGTACATCTTCTATGTATAACTCTTAATCTTGATTGATAGAAGTATTTGCAATAAAATTATAGAGGTATTGAGGTACTAATATATGGCTTTTTTATTCAAATTTTTTAAAAGTTAGTTGTTGCATTTGATAGAAAATTCAATAACCTAATTCAAAATTTGAAGATTAAATAAGTTAAGAAATAGTTTAGATTTGATGTTGAATCACGTAGTAACAATTTCTTATGTAAATAATTAAAAATTATTCCTCCAAAGTGGGATAATTTAGATTGTCCATGGAAATTAACTACCCTTTACTTCAATTTATTTCAATTCTAATTCAACAATTCTTATTTCCTTAGAAAGCAAACTTCAAGATGCTTAAATTAACAAAAAAATTATTTCATACTCACAATGTCTAGAGTTCAACCAAGAGAAAAAGCTCTCTAGTAATAAACTTAATAACTAATTGTTGAATACTACTCACAGAAAAATAATGAGATTTAGCCAATGTTGGTTATAAAATATATATATATATATATATATATCTATTATTGGCATACTAGGACCCTTCGTCGGTGATGCCAATCACTTGCTCCGTCGCTGTGAACTTCTACGTGTTCTTCACCTATGTCAATTGGTTCATGAATCCTTCTTGCAGAGCTCTACATACCAATCTGAGGCTCCAATGAATGCGTTACTAATAGCTTTAATTGAAATGCACAGATTGAATCCGCCAGACCTTCATGAGATAGGCACTGGGGCATCAACAGAAGCAGAAATATCCCCAACAAAGTCTTCAACGTCGCAGCACCCAGTGCCCAGCTCATGTAAAATACTCTCTTTGTATCACCCGACATGTTTATGCCATATGCCTCAAGTTTTCTAACTCTGTAGATGTAAGGTCGACTTCTTTCTTAACGTGATCGAATTCAGTTAGCACCATAGCATCCAGGTTATTAGGCTCTCGAATTGTAAGAACATCATCCCTAATGAAAGCCTCAAATATTCACACTGTGTATAAACTTGGTGAGAACTTTGTGAAGCACTAGAAATTGATATTCGCCGTCAGCATTCTTGTGAAAATAGATCTTGATCAGGTCTTTGATTGCTAGAGTTTGGCTGCCAGTGATAAGATATCTCTTGCACGTTGTGACATGATAATAACAATATCAAAATAACATGGCCTTCTTCTGAGCAAATTGCATCTTCGAACGGCGTGAACGTCAGCGCCATGTAGGGTGTCGCCTGATGCACCACCGCTGGAGAAAATATATATATTGCTCTTTAACTTCCAGTTGATTGTCTGGCACAGGATTGAGATGGCTTAACATCACAATCCTTAGCAATGGTGTTACATTGCTAGTGTCTGGACATTGTAAGCACGTCTGGACAGACACATATCCACATCTATCTGTCTGCAATCACTCACTCTCCAGGAGCTTCTTCTTCGCCGTCGTCGTCGTTGTAGTTATCGGTGGTATCTTCGTTGTCGCTGACGTCGTTATCGGTAGTATCTTCGTCGTCTTTGACGTCGTTGTCGGTGGTATCTTCGTCGCCTCTGACGTCGTTATCGGTAGTATCTTCGTCGTCTTTGACGTCGTTGTCGGCGGTATCTTCGTCGTCGCTGACGTCGTTCGTTGGTTTTTTCTTCGTCGTCGTCGACCTTAAAGCAATAAAACCTAAATTTGTGTTCATGCCAAAGCATTTAGTGGTAATTTTTTTCAAATGTATTCTATGACATGATTTTCATTATTTGGTATCAAGTTCGGAGTGTTCGTTTAAGTATAAGTAATCAAAAAGAAAAAAAATGTACTAATTGTAAATATTCTGTGATTATATCGTTTGATGATATTTAATGATAAATAGTGGTTTTCTTCAGTAATCTGCGAGGTTCTATTTTAATATATTTCTTAAATAATTAATTAAATAAAAATAAAACCTTAATTTAGACTGAAGGGTTTGAATCATTAAAACGTAGGCATCATTAATTCAAAATCTGTTTCATTTTTCATTTTTCAAATTAATTAAATCAATCATTTTTATTGAAATTTTATATTTCATTTTTATATTCAATCATAATATACGTATATAATGAATTAAATGTGACATTTTTCAAAAACATAAATATGTAAATATAAAATGTATTTACATTTATATTACGGCTATATGTGGAGTATATCATTGTTTCAAAAATAGATATTTAAAAAAAAAATTATTAAGTTGTTTATATTTTTTCATTACCATGCCAAGTTTTGATGTTGCTTTTTAATAATACTCTTGACATTTACTCAAGACATTTACTTCTTCTTTTTTTTTCTTTTTTTTTTTTTCTTTTTTTTTTCTTTTTTTAAGTTGTTCTCATATGCCACAATTTATTTCCGCTGTTTAAAAACAAAATAAATAAATAAATAAATACATACATGATAATTAAAACACTATGAATAACTGCTCAATAGAGTTTGATACAGAAATATTTTTATTCTGATTTGAAACTAAAAAGGTACAATCTCAAGTGCATATATATACACATATATATTGTATTTGGTTTTTATACTCTAAAACAAAATAACGTCTTTCAGAGCATATGTTTTAATTAGTTATTACATTTTATATGAAAAAATATATATATCTCTAAAACATTGACTAGTATTCAACATTTTCTATCTAGTAAAATTCCCGTCTTATTTTACTTTCTCTAACAAAAACATGCACACTACTTTGAATTTTATTTCACCAAGCATTATACCTATATAAGTATATAGAATGTTGGGTTCCACACAATATACACAATACACTATTTGAAAGGGCATCCATTTGGTCATTTTTTTGATAACTCATAATTTAGAAATTTTACATAGTGAGTTCCAAATATTTCTTTACCAAATGCATCAGCAATTGAAACTCATCCTTGAGTATTAAACATCAATATTAAAACAAATTATCATACATGAAATTCAAAACATTTGTGCAATTATTTTTATTATGTATTAATTTTATATTACTGATCAGATAAGTGTGTTTCTATCTAAATAACTAAATATGTAAAACATTGAAGTGAGAAAGGAAGGAAGAAATTAAAACTGTTATGGAATATTGTTATTTTTAAATAAAAAATAAAACTAAAGAAATATTTACTAAATTTAATTTATTGTTCATGTAAAAAAATATAGTTAAGATTTATTTTACATAAGTTCATTTAAACACAAAACTAAATAAATGATTCCTCTGCAAATCCATGTGATTGCTCATACGGCTAGTTCATTAGCTATTAAATACATGTGAAGAATTTTAAAAACGAAAACCACAATTGTAGAGGTGCATTATTAAAATTTAAAATTTTCTATATAAGCTCCAAATTACTATAAACCTTATTTTCTATTTTTATAAGTTTCACTCCCTTTAATTACTTCAACGCTGTATTTCTACCACTGTTGTCAATGCGTATTTCAGGATTTAATTTCTTTAATAATATAAAAATAACTTGTGCAGATTCTAATATAAATTTAATAACGTAAGAAATATTTTTGCATTTAGTTAAATTCTATATATCATAAGTGTGTATATATAACAATGATTTGGTCTTTTTCGTTAAAAATAGAAATCAAATTACATTCCATATATATATTTATATATATATATATCCATAGTTTCTTATGATTATTTAAAAAAAAACTCACAGTCCATCTTTATTGTAATTTTTATGAGCATTAAAAGTTTATGCATCATAATCCCATACTCCAACTGAAACCAAAAACATTTTTTTCAATTTAAAAATGTTCTTGTTTTGCTACAGTTGATAATATTCATGGCATTTGGATTGTATTGGATTGTATTTCCTTTTGTGTCTTTTTTACCATATTAATTTCTTAGTACAAGCATATAGTTACTAATCACTATAGAGTACATATTTTACTTTTGCTGAGTAAAAGTCTATCTAATAATGTATATACATACACATTTATACATGTATGTTCTGTTAGAAGCAATAGGAATAAAGACCAGCAGCAGGGGGGGGGGGGAACAATTTGCCACCAAGGTTGATAACTTGCTCTGTCCATACCCGTATGAAATCCAGGAGAACAACCTGGGTTGATACCCCTGACATGGTGGGGGGGTTCCCACTGGCTACGATGCAATGGAGGAAAATGTGATGGAGGATATCTGAAGACAAAAAATATGGGATTCCACATTGGGAATTGTTTGGGGGGGGGGGAGGGGGAGCTGACAAGTCTGGGGAAGGAGGGGTCAGTCCTGTGGAGATTATTATTGGGCCACCATCACCCTAGTCATTCTTCTTATTCTCCTTTGTCTTCTTCTCATGCTTATCAAATGCTCAACAACAAGTCTCTCTCCCATACACATTATCCCCCAAGTCATGGGCAACCAAGCATAGATATAAACTATTAGTAACATTACTATTAATAGAGATAACAATAAGTATTAAATGAATGGGAGGAGGGGAGAGATTTTAATTGAAAATATCATCCAATGCTACAAAGCGCTTTCCACGTGGATAAGCGCATGGATGATAGCCCATCCCCCGCTCTCTCTCTCAAACGTCCTTTTCATATAATCCAGACAAATTTTGCCCAAACCCCGCAAACTGCCCGTCGCGATTAAATAACGAGGCGGATCCACGTGCCCGTCAGGTGCACACGCTTCCAGACCCGACTCGGGTAGTGGGCAGAGCGCGGGGTGACGATATTTCCCACGACGGATGGACAAAGAGGCCCGATAAGGATGGATGACGTAAAGAGATGGATGTATTTATGGATGGATGAAGGGGAGGGGGGGGGGAGGAGAAGCCTGTTTATTTGTTTGTGTGTATGTTTGTTATGTTTTTTGTCATGGGCTCTGCTCTGCTGCCTTTGTGGCGAAGTGGCGCAGCTGGCTTCTTCTTCTGCATACTTCGCAGGAAGCGCTCGAAGCTCCACGAATATTGAGAGAGAGCTGGAGAAGAAGAAGGAATTGGTACTACTACTACTACTACTACTACTACTACGGTGACAATGCCAATGCCAGAAACGTCCACTCTTCGGGACATAGCGCTTGTGGTAAAATCTGAGGCGCTGTCGAGGAGGAGAATTGAGTCTGTGATTTGCAGGGAGAAGTGGTGAGGAAGTGAGCGATCTGAGGGGGAGATGATTTTATTTTTTGGTTTGTTCCTCGTGTGAGGAGTGAGTGGTGAAGGGGGTAGAGAGAGAGAGCAGAGAAGAGGAGAGGTTTTGAGTGAGTTTGAGAGAGAGAGAGAGAGAGAGAGAGAGAAGCGGGGAAAGATGGCGCAATCGAAAGCCAGAGTGGGAGTGTGCATTGCCTGTGCAGCTGCGACGTGCGCTGTAGCAGCTGTGATTGTGGCGCGGCGCGTGAAGTTTCATTCTCAGAAGTGTGCTGCGCGGAAAATTCTGGTGGAGTTTCAGGAGGCATGCGACACGTCTCTGCTGCGGTTGCGCATGGTGGTGGATGCTATGGCGGCTGAGATGCACGCTGGTCTTGTTTCGGAAGGCGGTAGCACTCTCAAAATGCTTCCTACCTACATTGATCGCTTGCCAGACGGGTAACTTGCTTTAAATTTCTTCTGTTAGGCAGACTCTTTGGCTTCATTTATTTGTTTATCAATTCTTTTTTAGACTTTGAATTTTCACTCCTCTTCCGTTTGAGTTGAACTCAAATTGGACGATGTTTCTTCCTTTTCGTGTCGTTCGTGCGCTGGATTTCCTTGCACCATGCATGCTATCCTGGTTTTGAAGGCGCTGTTGTGTGATCTCTACTTCCTCTGTTGTAGGATAATTTAATAAATTCAGGTTCTTAGAGTGGGTATATTGCAAGCCAGTGTGGTATTGGGTCGCAGATGAGATCAAGTTGTGCCTGGTGGACCCGTTTTAGTGTGTAGTTGACGAATGTGGTGACTGCGATAACCTTTTGCATGTCTTTTCTCCGTGGTATGTTTGGTCAAAATGGTTCTGCGTGAAAACGTTTTTTTGTTTTGTTTTGTTTTGTTTTTTGTTTTGTTTTGTTTTGTTTTTTTTTTTTTTTTCCTACACTTGTTTACTAGCATTAATGGCCCAATTTCCTCTCACGGCATCAAGTTAGCAAGATCACTTGTTTAGCGGGATTGACGATAGAGTGGTTTGATCTATAGTTCTGTACTATCTGGTATATTTGTGTTTGTTTTGCTTTTTTGTTCAAGCCAATCTTAATTCATTCTTATTCAATTAATTTAAAAATTTTATAATTTAATAGTTAAAAGCCTTTGTCAGAGGACCTCAGTAACACGTCTTTTGAACATGACTTGCTCTACCACCTTCCATTAAGCTATGTAAAGAATCCAGATGTCAAGTTGCAATTTATTACTTTTGTAATGAACATACATAATTTACTCAAACACACAGAAAAAGAAGAAACTCAATTGTGTTTGATGAAGAGTTGTTATATCCTGAGAGTTTTCGCCAGTCAATCTTTGACCTTTTTTGAAACGAATTTGTGGCGAAGCTGGGGAACTAACTTGAATTCCTTTGACGTGCGCTCTTTTGAGGCCAATTATCTCAGGTAGAGCACAGCTGTTGCTTTTTTACTGAAGGATTTAACTTCAGGGAGATTTATTTTGGAGAGAATTATCACATCTGTTATTTGAATTGGGATGTGCTTGATTTTGTATCTTATTGCTCTTAGTCTAGCAACACAATTCATTTTTCAAACAACAATCATCACTCTTTTGCAACAATATATTTCATCACTTTACACTGCAATCTGGTGTTGCTTACCTGATGTTCCAACGTTATTCTACGTGTATGACATTGGGGTTCAGTGTTCAGTGTTCTAACAATAATGGGTCAAGTTGGGACTGATCAGGAATGAGCGAGGACTTTATTATGCTGTGGATTTAGGTGGCACCAACTTCCGAGTTCTCCGTGTTCAGCTGGGTGGGTTAGAGGGGAGGGTAATCAACCAAGAGTATGAGGAAGTGCCCATCCCTCCTCATGTGATGCTTGGAACAAGTAAACAATTATTTGATTTTATTGCCAAGGAATTGGTGAGCTTTGTGGCAAGAGAAGGTCAGGACTTCAGGCTACATGCAGGTCAGCAGCGGGAAATAGGGTTTACCTTCTCATTTCCTGTGGACCAAACGGCAGTAAATAGTGGTAAACTTTTGCAGTGGACCAAGGGGTTCAAAGTGAACGATGCTGTACGGTTTTTAAACCAATTTTTTCCTTTTTATATTATGGGAGTGGATATGTCGTGGTTATGTTGAGATTGTGTATCCTATTGGTTTATCTTGATTAGAGTCTTGATCTTGCCTTTTAGAGTGGAGTTTCTATACCTTAAAGGCGATAGTTCAATTTTTATTCGAATATGTACTGCTTTTAGCTATGAACAAAGGCCTAAGCTGCAATTCATTGTGAACTGAGTCGGTGATATCTCCAATGTGCAGATTGGCCAGGATGTGGTTGCAGCACTTCAGAGGAGCATTGAATCCTTAGGGCACAAGATGAGGATATCTGCTTTGGTAACGTCTTTCTTTGGAACTTGCAAGAGAGCCGATTCCACCATTGTGAATTTTTGCACTTAAAATGACAGTGTGGGAAAATTATATCATATATTTTTCACAATTATGTAAGCACATTCATAATGTTGTCCCTTGGAGAATATAGAATGTATTGAAACTTATTTAAATTGTGAGAAGTATTTGAGTTTCTTTAAGTGGCTCAGGACTTCATCTCAGCCTGTACAATATCTGAATGAAGACCTTGATCTTTTGAAAGATATTGACTATTCTACTTGGTAACGTGTGGAGCATGTTGTGCAGATCAATGATACTGTAGGAACGCTAGCCGGCGGTCGCTACTGGAATAATGACGTGATGATAGGTGTTATTTTGGGTACCGGGACCAATGCCTGTTACGTGGAGCGAGCTGAAGCTGTATCGAAGTGGGGTGGCGAGATTCCGAAGTCTGGACAGATGGTAAGTACGGAAATTAGATTTTAGAAGGAGTTGGTTTTTACTCTGCAGTTTCTCATGTTGTAATAGTTTTCAGGAACTATTTGTAGATTTTGGCTTTGAAACGATTTTATAAATCTGCTGAAATAAGGCAGGTAGAATAGACCTCATCAACTTTAGGGTAGATCTTAGTATTACGCTAAGAAGTCGCGGTTCCTAGCGCTCTTTTCGATCTTACTTTTCATAGTTCCCATTTTGACTATTGTGTCTGGACCCGTCTTCGTCATGTCTTTAAGGTCGTGCCAAAAAGTTCTGGACATGGTTTTGCCAAACGTTGTTTCATATGATTCCCATGAGATGATATTTTTGACGAACTAAACTAGTGCTATTGTTGCAATGCGTCATCTAATCTATAGGATGAATTTTGACAGGTGATAAACATGGAGTGGGGGAATTTCTGGTCATCACATTTGCCTAGGACTTATGTGGATGAATCCTTGGATAACGAGAGTTTGAACCCAGGAGAATACGTAAATCCCTTCAACGATGATTCCTAAGCTGCAGCTTTATTATCTCTCTCGAACAAAGTTGAATGTGATGGGTTTTGATTGCAGGGTTTTGAAAAGATGATCTCTGGAATGTATTTGGGCGATTGTGTGAGGCGCGTGCTTGTTAGAATGGCACAACAAGCAGGCATATTTGGTCCCCGTGTTCCACACAGGCTTTTGGAAGCTTTCTCACTTAAGTATGTTATCTTCGTCAATACAAATTTTCTGTCCTAAATAGTTGTTTAGGAATTTGATTTTTGTGTACATTGTTTTTTAGAGTTAGTGATGTAGATGCTATAACAATTTATCTATGTTTTTGCAACTTAATTATATGGGTTGGCTATAGCTGCTCTTGTGTTATGCTTGTGCGGTGCTTTCGATGCAAACATTGCGTTTCATTCTAGGTTCTTATTTTATAATTTTATAAGCACATGAAAGATACTTGTGCAACTTGTTCCTTAGTTGGTTGCTAGATTTGAATGAATGTTGAAGAAAAACCTACAGTTGTGATGGTCAGGTGGCATGTGGTTCTTTTCAATTAAATGTAAGAACTTGTACTAGCGGTAAGTTGATTGTTGGGTGATCACGCGCTAGTATTTGTTTTGTAAGTCTTTGACATGGACATGGTTATTTTGCAGGACACCGGATATGTCAAAAATGCATCAGGATAATAATAACGATCTAAGAGTGGTTGGAGAAATTCTAAACAGTGTTTACCAGGCACGAAATTCTTTCTTTTCACCTTGTTCTAAATCAGATTTTGTTTGTAGACTTTTCGCTCGAATTCTGATGGTTTGATTAGGATCATGGCGATTGAATGTATTTGCCTCTTGCTGCAGATTCAAAACACCACATTGGGAATTCGAAAGATTGTAGTGGAGGTTTGCGATGTGGTGTGTAAGAGAGGTGCTAGACTGGCAGGTGCGGGAATTGTAGGAATATTGAAGAAAATTGGAAGGGATGGAAGTGCGGCGAATGGGGTTATCAAGCGTAACCTGTTTGAACAGAGTGACATGAATGGTTACCATGACGACGACCCTATGCAATATACATCAGACGTGAAAACCGTTGTTGCTATAGACGGTGGTTTGTATGAACACTACACCAAGTTCCGAGAATACATGCAAGATGCTGTGTTTGAACTTCTTGGAGAAGCATCAAAGAATGTCTCCATACAGCTTTCCAAAGATGGATCAGGCATTGGAGCAGCCCTTCTTGCTGCATCGCATGCCGAGCATCTTTCTTCTTGATAACGATGAAACCAACTACAGTCTTGTGAAATATGAGTCTTTGCTGATTGAAACCTCTTAGTTCTAATGTTAGAAATGTGTATACCAATCCGTCAAGGGGGTGCGAGTTAGCTTCCTTTGGAGCCCTTGGTTTATCGGCTCGCCATTTCTGTAGAAAGGTTCGCTTTTTTTAATCATTAATCACGCATCTCGGCAGCTCATGTTTCCAAGAGTAACTTGGGACAACAGATCCCCTGGCTGCATACGTAAGCTTATTTGAATACTATGGAGCAACTACTCAAAAATCTATTTGCTTTTGTAAACACCTTAAATCAAAGGTGACGCTCTTTGTCTGGTCCAGCCTAGAGCCCAATAGTCTAGCCTAAACCTCTGATGGCTAAAGTTTGGACGTTATGGTTTTGAGCACCAAACGTTCTGCACTGTTTGCAATGCTGCTTTTCTGTCTTTCAATTTGTTGTGGAAGGACCAACAATGCCTGTAGATACGCTGGGTCTTCATTGTCCAAGTGAAACCCCAAAGAGCTCGTTGAGGTTTCTATTTTAGTGAATGCTGTTGTCGTCAATGTGGGCTAGTTGAAGTCCCAAACCGCAGTATGAGGATGCTTGCTTGCTTGCTATATTTTGAGAATATGGTATGTAGCATCCTCTTTGCTCTGCCAAAGGGTTACTTGTCTTCAGGATCTTCCTTAGCAGTTTAAAGAATTTTGGATTTTGTTAACTAAAGTAGCTTTCATACTTAAATGCCTACTTCAAAAGACTATTGTAACGTCTGAATACCTTCAACCATTAACTTAAAGTTTTTCAGCTATCTTGGGGGGATTTGTTTTTTGGAAAAAAATTGTTTTGGGTGGAGAAATAAGTTTTTGATTTGATCCAGAAGAAAAAATTTGAATTGCTGCAGTAGTTGATTTGATAAAAAAATTCAAAGAAGTTTTTGCATTTTACCCTTCAACCAAGTCATAGACATGAGCAAAATTATGTTGAGAAACCTAAACTTGGGGTCATGAGGTGGCCATTTTTGCAACCACATGGGTGAAATTCTATGCACAATGCAGGCACTGATCCACATGCACGTTGAATAGAAGCTAATGCCAAGGTGTAATCAAAAACCACAGGAAAGATGGACAAAAACTATGTGCAACTAGCCACATTCCGCTTGTCAGCCTGCTTCAAATGGCAAGAAGTCAGGCCAAAATCATGTGTGCAAGTGGCCACACTTTGCTTGTCAACCTACCTGGAACTACAAGAAGTTGGACCAAAATCATGTGTATAATTGGCCACACTTTGCTTGTCAGCCTATTTAGAATGGGAAGAAGTTGAGCCAAAATAGTGTGTGCAACTGGCCACACTTCACTTGTCAGCCTACTTGGAACGGCAAGAAGTCAAACCAAAATCATGTGTGCAACTGGCCATACTACCATTCATAGAACTCAGTCCCTCTACCACTCAGAACCCAATTTTTATTGGGCCCTTACCAATCTACATGTCAATGTGGATCATTGATATGAATTCTAAATAATATAAAAATAAAATTTTTAAATATAAAAAATTACTTAAAACATATTTGATATGGATGTTGAATTATATATAATATAAAAATATAAAATTTATAAAATATAAAAATATAAAATTTATAAAGTATAAAAATTACACAAAATATATTAATTGATGCATGTATGTGTTTGCACTCGTGCATGTATTACTGTGGTGGGATTTCTAAAGTGATTAGCTATATGCATTTGTTGTTTTTGTCAAACATATAAAATAAGCATACAAAATTAACAAAACTGTTTATCCATCAAAGTTTATGTTGTTGCCACGATTACTACCTGTTTACTTGATGTGCATACAATTTATGTAATCACCTCACACAATATTTGCACAATTAATTCTCTTTGGTTCTAAAATGTATTTGCCAAATGCTTGTGGCTTTGTTTTTTATAAAAACAAAGATACATGCATTCAATAAATAAAATTTGTGTCTTTGCTTACATATGTGCTGCAATATATGAGCATTCTACACAACCATAGAGCGTTTATTATAAGTTACTTGTTGGCATGTGTGTGTAGATTATTTTTTTGTTGTTTCATTTTTGTTTTGTAATATTGATTTTGTATGCAGTGTCAAATATGGTAGTCTTAGGTAAGCAAGTTATTAAAGTGATTAGTGGCAAATGAAGGCAATGGCATATAATGACATGAGTGCATAAAAAATTGATTCGGATAAAGCAGACATACAAATGCTAGTTTCTGTTGACTGGATTGTATTGCTCAAGCGTGGGGTTCATGGCTATGTCTTTGCTCATCAAGCATTGGATCCGAACATGGATCCAATAAGCACTACCAATCTCCTTCAAATAGTGGTTGCTCCTCCTCAAATGTTTGTGCAACTTGTTGGGATTGAATTTAAGTATCCCATTGCAATTTCTTTTCATAGTAAAACCAAATATACAACAAACATTACATGCTTGCTTATTTGTTGTCTCCAATCATTTGGGTGGACAATTCTCCATCCAAATTTGATAACCATGCATTGAAGTTTATAGTATAATTATTTTACTCGTTGAATTATTTTATTTTTGAAGAAGAGTGTCAACAATGTACTAATACTAGTGTTGCAGTGTATTAAGAATTCTAAGAGGAATTTTATGGATTTGTGGTATCACAGTTCTTTAGATTGATATCCGACTTCCAACTTAAAGTATTTTTATTCTATATTTTTTACATCTTACACCATGTTGTATTATAGTTGAAATTAAGTTGCAATGAATTTTGGACTAAGAACATTATACACAAACAATATGACCATGTAGAACTTGATCAGCAAAAGAACAATACTATGCATGTGTGAAGCAAATTTTTAATACAAGGTGGATTGAATGGACAGGTATTAGCATACACAATGAAAGATGGCTTGCTTCATTAACAAAGCTTTGAAGGTTGGTTTTGTACATTTGTAGACATGAGTATTTGAAGTGAACTTTCTTTGCAATATGAACCTTAGATTGAAAAGAGGTTTATATATGGACAATTATGAGCAAAGAATGTGTGGAATAGTGAGTGCAATGGAGAAGTGGTGTTGTAACATATATTAAAGCTACAAAATATAAAAAAAACTCTAAGCAGTTGATGAAGTCGACGATGGCAGTACTAGTAGAGTCAAAGAAGAAATCCAAGGTTTACACTCATATTAGTTCATTCAGAATAATAAATTTAGGGTTGTTATGTTTTACTACTTGTTGTGCCTTTTGAAACATATTTCAGTAATGAAATACAACCAAAATGTGAAATTTTTTGGTAATTATATGGATGTATAGATTTTTGATATGTTTCAAAAAATAAAATATTAACATACTTTGTAAGGATATTAAAACATGAGTAATAAAAAGCATTACTAGATACAAAGAAATTCTTTAAAGTAAAAGAGTTTTCCATATAGAGACCACCAATTTTTCACAAAATCTATGTGATGATAACGTAAATAAGAATAATTTTAAAATCTCTAATTCACTTTTGTATATAAACAAAGTTGTGATACTTAAGCTATTCTTGACATAAAATTTATTCTTAAAATAAACTTTTCAACCCCAATTGATAGATTGTAGTTAATAAATTTTCTTTCAAAGTTCAAAATTTCCTTTTTAGAATATCCATGAGCTGAAGAGCAAACTTCTTTGCAAACATGCTCCAAAATAAATTCTTCCATCGTTAATAGACCTTCAAACATCACATTCATTATGATGCTCCATTTTCTACTTACTAAAAAATAAATAATATTGATTTATTGTTAGATCATTATATTATTTATTAATATAATGTAAAAAATTTAAAAATATTTTGAACAATTTATAATTTATTTTTATGCAATGTATTATAATGTATTTAATGAAAAAATATTAATAATACCTAAAACCACTCACGAGTTGTAAGAATTATTTTTAAAAGTATCATATATATTAAGTGCTCTTTTATATAACAATAAAAAACTATTTGAGGTAAGATTAATTATATTTGAGCATTAGCTACAATCTGATGATCTACAATGGCAGAGCTAATTAATTAAATAGTAAGATTTTTGTAATATATAGAGACAAGGCATTCTACCTATGGCATGTCTATCTTAAATTCTAAATTGTCCTATAGCTATAGAGGCTTTTACATGAGAAGAATCCACATACTTTCTACTTTTGCCATAAAATGCCACTTTAGTATACACTATTTGTAAAAAATATCTTTCTCAGCATATCCTTGAATGATAAAGAAAATTATGTAGATAGTGTTGTGGAATGCAAATGGATGTCAAATAGTAGAAATTTGAAGAAGTTGGAATGAGAAGAGAAAAAAATAACCATTGTTCTACACAAAGTAGGATCCAAATGACAAAGTTATATTAAAAATTTGGAATTGATCACCACTTGGTTCTTTGACATAGACTTAATTAGAAATTATGTCTTTTAATGGCATCATTTGGCTCCTATATACGTTCTATATTATTCTCCTTATGCAAATCTTCCACCTTTCCATTATAACTCTAACTAGTTCTGTTGCTTTCATAATTCAAGTTATATTGGCTTTTTGTGTACGTGGAGCCTTTAAGCATTGCAATTATTTTTTTTAGATTTTCAATGTATTTAAATAGCAATCTTTTCCATAGCTCCTAACTTATGTTAATGGATATACTTTGCTTGCTCCACCTTACATTGTGCATTAGTTTCTTCTTGCTCTACTTATTTTTATTTAAAGTTTTTATTTTTTTATTTTTTTATTTTTTAATGTTATCTTTTTTTTTTCTTATAAAGCCTTGTATTAGAGTTTCATTAAATCTATTGCTTCTTCATATTGACATAAAGTAAGTACAATAGATTTTACAAAAATCCACTATTGAGTCATGTTGTTATTGATTAAACCAAGAAATACAAGACAATCTCAAGAAGTATTATAGACTCAAAATATCTCAAAAGATAAGAAAATTAGAGATCCTTGAAACTAGATTAGAAGCAAGAAAAGAATTAACAAGACTAAACAAGGCTTCATTCTTATCTCTATATATGAATAAAGTTCTTAGTTACAAGATAAGTTTCCTATATGTGTCCAACATTATTAGCTTGTACTACAAGCTATTAATATATGCAATATGTGGCTAACTTATTGGCCAAGTTTTTAACCTATTAATTATATACAAATATATATTAAGATGAAACCACATCTATAAAGCTTTTAGAAAGCTTTTCTAAAAGATGTTTTGAAATTAATCTACTTTTATTTAATTATATTTATTCATATTACTTAAATAACTATTAAAATAAATATTTATATCCATGATATTACCTTCTTTTTTAAAGACGAATTCCACAAGAAGCAATGATTATATGTTGATGAAGTCTAAGATGTAAAAAATTATATTTATTACATACTCTAATCATTATTTCTTTTGAAGGTAGTTGATAGGTCTTATTAACCATCAATAATATCTTATTTTAAAAAAAAAATACCACATTATTTTTTGATTATTGTTCAAGCCTTTATAATTTCCTTCAAACAAAATATTTGTTACACCATGAAGAATTGTTTGTACCTCCAATAAAATCACTAAACATTAAGAATCTCTTTCAAAGTCATGATATCAAACATATTATATCTTGCCATCTATTTGAAGAAGAATATGTCATTCTTAAAGATTTTTATCTCAATTAAGTCATCTTAAAGGTTGTAACTATT